CGACGCAATAACGCGTTTATTGCGCCGGAGGGCTCAAAAAAATTGTGAATTTTTCAATTTTCGAACATACTGCCGGATGCATCAGACAGCGCTGGTTTCAAATATTTTAACCAGAACTCTATAGGAGTAACCTGAAGAAAGATATAGCAATGCGGCACTTCCGGCGTTTTATTGCGTTTAAAACGCAGCTTTGAAAAGCGGCACTGCCAGTGCTGTAGTTTACATTCCGCTGCCAAGTTTCTGATTTGGTTCCCTGTTTCAAAATTTACGTAAAGAGGCCAGACTTATTCGTCAAATACTGGATATTCATGTTTAATCAGCGTCCAGTATCTTTTAATCTTCTTTCAATGTTATCATCAATCATCCAAAAGAATTCTGGCTCGACACATTATTCATTTGAGGTGCAAGCTCGTTTCAACTGTTTTCCATCAAATTCTGCGATCAATCAATAACCCCACAGCTCGAATAATGTTGTTTTTTATTGCTTGCTTTATAAAAGCAACCAGACTCAACCCAACAAAGGGTAAAGGGTACTATTCGGTAGAGCAAAGCAAGCTCTACAAGATGGCGTTCATAGTATTGCGCCAAGCTCGATCCACGAAAGTTCGAACTCAAAATCTGAAGATTTCCAAATGCCCAAAAAATCGAAAAAAATCAGATCTTCGTCCAAATAATTTCGGGAGACTGTCAGGAGGTACAATCGGTGCGATTTTTTCGCGAAGCGACGCCAACGCACTTCAACCAATACAGTAGCAGCATTCCAGGTGTAACGTTGCTTATGGCATCGAGTCATATATCTGCCTCCACCCCCACCCCGTGTTTTTGCCGCCGGAAATCTCTGATAGTGGGAGGTTCTCTGGGTCCCAAGACTTGGACGCGGCGTGCGCGGCAAAGCGGCCGCCGCTCGCGGCGTACCTCCTGACGTGCAGCCATAATTTCTACGAACCTCCCACTCACACACGTGAATGCAGTCGATATCGGACACCCATATGTGCTGTTGCTGCGCTTTCTCCTTGACTAAAAACTGAGAAAACAAAAATTTTCGTAATGTTTCCAAAGCAAAGCTGAGCCTTCTTGCATATGTGATTCTATACTACAAGCCTAGGTAAGTATAACTGTAGATTTTCAGCCCACTCCGAGCAGTAGTTTTCGAGGAATTCCAAAATCAGCTTTCTTCTTTTCAGTTTCAGTGATAAAAGCGACATTTCTCAAAAACTACTGCTCAGAATGAGCTGAAAATCTACAGTTATACTTACCTAGGCTTGTAGTATAGAATCAAATATGCAAGAACGGCTCAGCACTGCTTTTAGAAAAACACGGAAATTCTCGTTTTCTCAGTTTCTAGCCAAGGAGAAAACGCAGCAACAGCACATATGAGTGTCTAATATCGATTTTCTCGTGTGTGAGTGGGAGGTCCGTAAAAATTATTTGGACGAAGATCTGATTTATTTCGATTTTTTGGGCATTTGGAAATCTTTGAATTTTGCGTTGGAACTTTCCGTGGATCGTGCTTGGCGCGAAATCATAAACGCCATCTTGTAGAGCTTGCTTTGCTCTATCGAACAATATTACCCTTTGTTGGGTTCGGTCTGGTTGCTTTGTTAAAGCAATAAAAAACGACATTATTTTCTTGACAACCTAATATTTAGGGAATCGCCTCATTATTATCACATGCTTCAGACATATAGCTGGCTGGATCACTTCAAGTAGTGTGCTGGTATGTTACTGTCTGCCCCAATTCTAACCAGGCCAAAATCTGCATGGCGGGCGTCCGCGCCGCGAGGGTTTCGCGCCACATCTGCGGCTAGCTAGTCTGCTCTCTCCTCTATCTCTTCACTCTCTGCGATAGTGCGCGTATGCAGCGCAATCCCTTAGCGCTGCGAGCGCGCAATTTCAGCCAATGGTTCGGCCTGATCCCGATTGGGGCAGACTGTACTTGCTTTTCTATTCTTGTGACGTTTCTTGGATATATTTCCTATTTGGTACTCATGAACAAGCCGTGTAGTATTCACTTATACGTTCGTATTAGAAAGACGGAGTGGTTTATGCTTAAGGACGGAGAAATCTGTGGTCGCATAACAAGCATCTTAGCATAGGATATATCCAAAATGATTCTCTACTGACAATGTAAGTTTGTACTGCAATTTACTATCTTATCATTTATCAACGCGAGTTTCTTTAGCAGTGAACGTATTGCTGTCAACCATTTGACTGCCCGAAGTATCGAGGTGAAGTCGCTGTAAATCGTGGTGGTTCTTTGTCTCAGTAGACCTTTTGCTTGATAATCAAACCCCGGTTTCTTCAACAGTGATTTTTGGATTGATTAAATAAAGATAACAATGTGATGATGTAGATATTCCCACGACGGCATTATTCACTTTTGTTCAGAATAGTCAAAAGTGTTTGCGATGATGAAATTTTGAACAAAGATTTTGCTACTTTTTTTGTGTGTATCATGTGATGAAACAATTTTTTTCGCTTCTGCTAACATTACACCTCGCCTTGCTTCAACAGTGTTAGTTCTTCGGCCATAAATGGGAGGAATACAATCACAGCTTTGACTAACCTAGGATCTTTTTTATCAGAGAACCTACGTCTTTTTGTCTGCGCCATCTCTTCTAGGGTTTTAGCAGACTCCTTTTCAGCTTTTACGAAATTTGGATAGATAATTTGCCCCCAGTGTATTTAAGCTTTATTTAGGAGAATACCTTGATGCCGGGGGAGGGGGCGAACTGCAGTGACATGTGCATGCATCGCGTTCGTAACTTTGTAGTGTAGCGTAGTCATCCTTTAATTACCTTGTATGGCACCCGCCATACTTACCCCTCTTGATCCGCTTGATCCGCTTGCTCCGCTTCTTGCAGGACGCGTGTAAAACGCGCGCACTCAGCAGTCTGTCATTTGGCGCCGCGTAGGTAAAAAGCAATTGTATGGTTGAGCAAATTCGTTGTACGTGACGCCAAATGACAGACTGCTGTGTGCGCGCGTTTTGCACGCGTCCTGCAAGAAGCGGAGCAAGCGGATCAAGCGGATCAAGCAGATCAAGCGGATTAAGCGGATCAAGCGGATCAAGAGGGGTAAGTATGGCGGGTGCCTATGTTGCAGAATGAACTACATTATCGAATCTTTTGGAAAGTTTGGAGTTCTTGTACGCTATGAGCGAGCCTACTGCAGGCCAGATATCTCCGCGGCGGAGACGGCAGTATGTGCGGCAAGAGCACATTCGATTCGTTGAAACTCGCTTCCGGATTTTTGACGAATACCTGGTTACGAGGAGGCCTGAGGGTTTTCTCGAATTCATCAAGCTCTTGCCTGATAAATTTGAGGACCTCTACGAAAGAATAGGAAGTGAGTTGGAGCATTCTCGTACTCATCTTGGTCCAGTAACCGGCCGTCACAGACTGATGATCTACCTCAGGTGAAAGCTTGGGGAACTGATAACATGAACTAAACCGCTGATAACATGCATTGTCCCTTCAGATTTGTAACGCAGAGGAGGACTTTCACCGCTTATGCTTTGGACATAGGAATGGGGAAAACAACAGTATCGAATGTGGTAGAGGAGGTGGCAGAAGCCATCAGAAGGGGGCATTACCACCAATCGTGATTTAGTTCTGCATAATGTTGCTTTTCCACCTCTAACACGTGCGAGACTAGAGAAAGTAGTCAGAAAGACACAGGCACTGTTTGACTACCCCAGGGCGGTGGGGTTCATGGAAGGCAAGGACATAAATATCCAGGTTCTCAGTGCTTATGCAAGATGTATACAACGACGATGTGTTTGTCAAAAGCCCGCTCGCTCTGGAAGTATGTACTGGAACTACAAACATTACCACTCGATCATTCTCCTGGCAATATGCGATTGTGATTATCGCTTTATGGCGTACGACATTGGAGCTCCTGGTCGCCATGGTGATGCTGGCGTGTTTCGGAATTCCGCTATCAAGGTTTGGTTCGCTAATGAGAAAATACGGAGGTTTGATTCGGGAATTCAGAGATGGCTGGAACGTCACGATGATGTTTTCCCTCTCACGAGAGGGCTTGGAAGAGTGGGCCCTGTCCAATATCAATTCCTGATGGACGGCGGCTTCGTTCATGGCTGCAGATTTATCCGACCGTACAGAGAGCCCGAAACGACTACAGGAGATAGAAGGCGATTCAACCGACAATTACGCGGGTAACTTATCACCTACTCGACATGACGATGTGGAGGAATAGTATTTAAAGCTCGGCATATGATAGAATCCACCTTTGGTTTGCTGGCTCAGCGTTTCCAAATTTTGATGACGCGGATGACCTTGACTCCAGAGCGAGCTAAGCGGCTGATTGTTTCCCTCATGGTTAGCCCAGCTGACTATTGAACCGATTCCTGACATTGAGTTATTGAGCAATGGCTATAGATCCTTTACAACATGCTTCCCTGAAGACAGGACAGCTTGGCAGAAGTGGAGAGATAGACCTGCACAAAACGAGTACCATCCACTGAGGAACACGGATCTTCTACAAACAGGTGGTGCTGCGAGAGATCTTATGACGCAATACTACGTTGATTTATAGGTCATGAAAGATGAGACTTGCGTATTGTCTTTACCCTGGAAGGAAACCTTACTTCCATCTTAGCTGTCTTTTATATTGCCGCTTTTCCCCCATCATCAATAAGCGTCTTCGAGTATATCTTGTACGAAGCCGAACTTCGGTCTGTAAATACATCTGCGTGCCTACAGTGTTTTCGTTCCTAAATCGTTCTCAACATATACTCACGTGCCATTTATACGAAGTGATGTATATAATCACGATAAACTTTTACTTCTTCTTGAAATCCAAAACTGTACAAAAGCTTTGAAAAAATGTAAACCGTATCGTATCAACCGTACTTCAGCGAGATCCAAGGACTAAGAATCTTACTAAAGAATCTATCGAATGCTTCTCAAAGTGTGGAACTGCTAATGCTACTGGTAACAAAAAAAAATGAAAAGTAAACAAAGAAAATGCACTCAAAATCATTCTTTGGAAAATAATTCTCTTACGCTGTCTTCGTAGTGCTTGACTACTTGGACTGGGAGACTGCTCTTAGATCGATATGCCTCTTCCGAGCACTGGCGAAATTCCTCCGGTGTAGTGACATGTCTAACTTCCGTTACCAGAGTCGTTACTATGACATTTATCTTCTCTTGAGCTTTCGCTTTGTCCATATCCCTCAGGTTTTGAGCCACGAAATTGCCTGAAAATACCGAATAGCTCGATCAATTGAGCCTGAAAACTCACCAAACGTATCGAACTTGTCATTACTTCTGACCGCCTCCAACCTTTCTTTAACTGTGTTTATGGCGTCGCGGAGAGCACCTCTATCTAAAACCGAGCAGATCAGTTGAAGAAGCGTGTTGAAGTATCTTACCTTCATCACACATGTCAACCACTCGGGATCTTTTCGGGGTGTGGGTCTTTTCCTTTTCAGAAAGCTGTCCAAGTAGCGGTATCTCTATTTCTTCAACAAACATCTTTCGTTTCGTTGATTCGTTTTAAGAACTAGTCGATGGAAAATCTAAAACAGTTCCGATGTATTGTGTAAGAAGAGCATAGGGCTCTACCGTTTTCGTCGTTCACGTGCTCCTCATCGCTCAGATTTAAATTCGAAACTCGCGGCCTGAAATACAGCAAACTTCGTCTTCAAAATCAGTGGCGTTAGAGAGACGTACGCGTCCACTTCTGCTTGATCCAGAAATGCCAGATATCTGAAAATTCCTGTGCGAGTGGCTGCTTGTCCTGATTTTCCTTTTCGGCACTTCATATAGCCACTGCGCATGGCCTTCCATTTCACTTTCACATCATCTACTGAAACGAACCTTGATAAAGTTGAAAAAAATTTTACTTAACTCACAATCAGCCGCGATACCACGTTCAAGCAACAAATCGACAATTTTGTTCCATGTGGCTGCGCGTCGGTCTCTTTTGTGATAGCCATCATGCGATGGCAACCATAGGTTCGGATGCCTTTCCACTAAAATTGCAATGTGTTCTCTGATGTTCATTCTGCCTGCAAAACAGAACTTTGAGATAAGAAATCACGACATAAAGTTGTAAATGTAGAGAGAGCAAACATCACGACTTAAAGTTGCTGTACAAATCACGACATATGTTGTAAATGTAGTGAAAGCAACACTTGTTTGCGGTAAAACGCAAGATCTGAAACAGGTGTATCGTTCGCTAACACCTCTAAAACATCTTCATATTGATAACGAGGTGTGAATATGCCTACAATTAGAAAAAAGGACGTTCACAGCAAAATACAAATCATTCGATTTTGCCTTACGCGGCACCAAATGACAAACGCAGAACGCGCTTGTTTAAGCGGCGCCTAAACTGTGCGGAAATCATAGAACTGTGCGGGAATCACAGGAATCGCAGGAATCATTTGGAATAGTATGGCCGATCCCTTACTGTGAATTCTTCGAATTTAGTGCTAACGAATCAAATAAAACTTGGATGGAAAAGTTTTTTGGAAGTAAAGTTTTGGGGTCAGCATAACCCCTCAAAAAGTCAGGCTGCCTGATCTTTTGTAGCCTTGTGCCCTTAACTGTCTTTAACTTGCCTTCAGTATTCAAAATCGCTCCTTCTCTAGAGTGAGTATCAAGCTCAAAGCCTCTTCTTGCTATATTGAAAGCTTAAAGCCAAACGCTTTACCCCTGTAAGAATTATAGCTTTGAAAAGAGGGCTCACATTCAAAATTTGCCGAGTTGATTCAAGTTGAATTTTTTTGATAATTTTTTTTATTTTCAATTTTTGCTTGTGCCTCGTAGCCGTAGTCGCAAAAAGTCAGGCTTACGAACTTCCGAAAAACTAGAGGACGTATTATATAGGAGCTTCCAAAGGAGGGAGGAGGGAGTCGTTTTTGAAGGGCTGCTTGACCTCTCGCTCAACCCTGGTTGTAAGAAGGATAGTGCTTGCCTCACAACTACTCATAGATCTCTTCTTTTTACCCCTAGTTTGTTACATTTCTTCTCATCATTTGCGAAAAACTTTAGCAAAGATCTTTTGAAGAAAGGCTTAGAAAATAAAAATTTCTAATAGTCGAAAATCCTCATAAGGGAAGTCGGGCTTTTGAAATGATACACATATATTTAGAATCAGCTCGGAATGCTGATACCAAATATGCTATACTTAGCTGCGAAGAGTTTCTCTGAAGCGAGTTATGAGCTTTTCTAGTATGTGTCATTGACATACAACTGAATATGGAAAGAAGGTTTTTAGATGAAAATCTGCCCAAAAAGTGGTGGGAAATCAAAATAACATTAAATTAAGTCATTTGGCTTTGATAGGGTATAATATGCATTTGAACCACTACCTAGATGATGATACCGTAGCTTGCCTAAGTCGGTCAACACGCAGAATTTGCTCAGGAAAAAAGCTCATAACTCGCTTCAGAGAAACGCTTCGCAGCTAAGGAAAGCAGATTTGAAATCAGCGTTCCAAGCTGATTCCAACTATATGTGTCTCATTTCAAAAACCCGACCTAAGTTAAGTGACTATCCTTGTCAGATCAGAAACTAGAAAACTCAGTGTTTTTGTGTTTGACAAAACGAATCATGTCTTCTTACCCCTAGTTTGTTACATTTCTTCTCATCATTTGCGAAAACTTTAGCAAAGACCTTTTGAAGAGAGGCTTAGAAAATAAACATTTCCGAGTAGTCGAAAATCCTCAGATCAGAAACTGAAAACTCGGTGTTTTTGTGTTCGACAAAACGAATCATGTTCAAAGTAGTGTTTGCTGCAAAGATTATGAACGAGATCAATTTTTTGAGTCATATTCTTCAAAACTATAAACCACAACTTACAAGGGAATGATCAGAATTCGAGATGGCCAATCCAGGCAAGCTGCATAACATCAGATGCAGCATAAGATGCTGACTCCAAATTCTTCTTTATCTCCAAAGCACTTTTGTGAATGAAGTTATAAGCCGTTGAAGGCCATCATTTTGCCAAGAGGGAGCGATTCCAAATCAAGGTGGCCAGTCGGAATCGAACGCATATCATCAAATGCGTCTTGATGAGCTGATTCCAGATCTGCCTTTCATATCTGCGAGCGTTTTCTGGAAAAAGGTATAAGCGTTCAGATGTCTAAATTTGGCAAACATTCAGCGCCACATTCTCAAGAAGTGAACCGCTGCTAAAAATCTATGCTCTACTTTCGCACTTCCACACTTAAATTGCAGCCCATCCAAAGCATATATCCATTGTTGCTGACGAGAATGGTTGATATGTGGGACTTTGCGTGCAAAATTAAGCACATTTCTGAATTTTTAGCTCACTTTTAGGTATGGGCCATATGAACTAACCTAGCTGCGTGTTTTGGTTCAGCATTGAGTCGAACATAGCTGCGTACGGCCAATTTGCACTTTACACAGACGATTTCTTAGCAGGATAAAGTTCTTTTATGGCTTATAACTTTATCCACAAATGTTCAGCAGAAAAGAAGACAGATTAAGAGTTAGCGTTTTATACTGCATCTGATGTTATGCAGCTTGTTTGGATTGGCTACTTCGATTTCTGACCATTCCTTTGTTACACGATCGTCCGCAGGTGACGTGAAGTCCCAGGAAGTTTCCATAATCTTTAGATTTTCTTGGTTGTCATTGGTGGGCGTCCACGGGTTAAAAGGGTAAGAATCGTATCCAGCTTATTTCTCAGCTGGTCCATCCGTTTCACGAACACGGCTGCCCATCTCGTTGGAGATCTTCTTCGGGGGGGGGGGGGGGGGGGGGACGTTTCGTTTCGCGAGGAATCCAGTCCGTTGTTCTTAGTGTACATCTATCGTCAGTTCTACTCATGATGTGACCGGTGTTTCGATGTTCGATGTTCGCTTTCTCAACGTATTCCGCTGGGCCACGAGAACGGTACATTCTTCTTAAACTGCGAAGTCCGACAAGATGTTGCTTGTGTCTGCTCATCTAAGACCGCACTCAGGCGCTCTGTGGGTGTTCCGTAAAGCTTCCAACGTACATTGTCGGCCCGATTCTCAGGTGCGTAACAGAGATTCAGGAGAACGGTTGACAGGTGGGAACTAAGCTGCGGGTCCGTCAGTTGGTCGGTGGCTTCCTTCAGAGGCCCGAAGGCGGCCCAGGCTACTCTTCTTCTCCTGTTATGTTCTTCCTTCAAATCTTCTCCGGTTCATTAAACTCCAAGAAACACGTAAGAAGGCGTCTTCATGAAAGAGGACCTTTCAATTCCATTTCGCATTTTCGCCAAGAGCGTTCTGAATGATCATGAACTGAAGCACATGAACAGTCTTCCTCCGATTTATTCGCAGTCCTATCTTCTTCCCTACCTCGTTTGTTCCCTCGAAAAGAGAACGATGTCGTTCGCAAAACGAGATTCGACAATCTCCTATCAACTCGTATGCCTACCTCAGCCTCGACCAGTAACTTCATCATCCACTGCAAGACCGCGGTGAACAGTTTCGGCGAGATTATGTCGTCTCGTACGGCCCTCTTTCTAACTGTAATGGTCAGGGGTGATGGGAGCTGCATCGTCGTTGTACAGTCTTTGTAACAATCGGCTAACGTCCTCTAAGCTGGGTACATAAATTGATCGCCTAGCCAACAGAATGGCGTTGGTTTCGACGGCTGTCAGAGACTTTCTCGTGGTCGACGAAGGCGAAGGTTAGGACGAGAGGCAGTCGGTACTTCCGGCAGACTTCTGTGACCCTCGATCGTCTGGATGTGGTCCAGACGTGTTGAATCCCTTGCGAAATCCAGCTTCTTTTTGTAATAGCGCAATAACGCCCACTCAATGGAAGTGGGCGAAGCTGATGGAGTTTTGAAGCGCTTTTTTTAGGACTTAGCGCATGAGTTGGAAGGTGGGCTTGGGGCTATGATGTACTTGGGGGGTCTACTACCCGAAACTACCAAAATCTGACAGGGGTCCACTCTGCCTGTCCACTGCCTTTGAAGCCGCCCACAACAAACTTGTAAAAGGACTTCTCGTTGCGAACGTCCTCCTCCACACCTTCGTAGAGAGAATCTGGTTTTGATTCATCAGTTACTGATGTCGGAGAGTAGCAGTTGATGATGCTGACAATTTCTGGCGTAGAGGTTGTACTCAAATAATCGCCGTGGGCAGGCGGTCTGCAAACTCGCGCTTTTCTGCAAGCGGTCAACAGAATTTTGGGGAGTGGCCAAACCTTCAGCTGGCGGCACTTCCTTTACGGTCGCATATTCTGCCAGCGGGAAGCAAATACAGTATTTTCTGCAAGCGCTCGGCAAATGATTTTTTCAGCGAGCGCTGGCCAAACTTTCAGCAAGCGCTCAGACTCTTTTTAAGCAGTTTCTGGCACACGCCGAGGACAGGTAAGACTCTGTGTGGCAGAGGTGTCACCGTTGGTTTGATTACTCAAGTTTGAGGTACTTTCTCTCAGCGGAAAGTGTCTGAGGGCTGCGCGGTCCTCCACAAAGGACCGTGCGGTCCTCAAAAATTTTGCATATTCTCGCGGAAAGTCCGTGAGAATGCGGCCACTGCGCCGCAGCTGATCTACAAGGAAACCGCGACCTTCTTCAAGCACTCGTCCAAAATTTCTCTAAAATTCTTCCAAATATCTGCAAGCGAACCGCAAGAAATCAGCGAACTATTTTTCCGGTACCCGCCCGCCCATAAATCGCATGGCCGCCTGCCCCCGGCGATTATCTGAGTAGTTGCAGGATGGCTAGTCGAATTGATAAATCACATGCGAATTGACAAGGTGGACGATAGATGGGTGGACGATAAAGGCAACGCCTTCCAGGTTTTGTGATGAACCTTTTCACCACGATTATGAGGGTTCCATCACTCATCTGTCGCACGTCCTTCTTCCTGGACTTCGCTCCCTGCAGAGCGATGACGTGTACTTAATGTTCTCTACAGTGAGAAGTGCGTGAAAGTCGGCGTTTGTTGAGACAGTCCTGGCGCTGTAGGCCCAAAACATGAGGCAGTCTCCGTGCGTGTCGTCCAGGCAGACGTGTCGTTTCTGTTCGATCCAAACGGCGCCCTGGGGACCCTG